ACTGTGCCTCTGGGGAGTATAGTCAGCATTTGTCAGAGTTTCTCTTTGTTGCAGGTAACTGGCGATACCTATGCTCCAGTTGCCTAACTCCAGTGAGAATAGCTACGTTGCAAAATAATGTGAAAGCTGTGGTGTCCATACTGGTGCTGCACCCTCTTGTGCGTGCTGCTAGTGTTTCTGGGGGCTTGTCCCAGGGTTCTTCGCACTGCAGTAAGTGGAGCAACTTTATGAATTATTTCCCAAGGGAATTGTGGGAGAATGTGTCTGTCCTTTCTGGGCAGATGGTAGGAATTGTGGGATGGGATTGGAGTCCTAGAGGCACTAGAGTGCAGTTAGCTTGTGTCCATATTGCAGAGTGGTCATGTTAGCTGCTGATGAGCTGTGCTAACTTGAGCTTTAGTTTAAACATCCTCCAGTTCAGAGTTTGTCTGTGTGTGTGGATGGGGTGCAAATTGGGGCAATACTCAAGTTAACTTTGGAGTGAAGACAATCCCTGAGTTGCTTTGTTTTATTATGTTGCTGTTTAAGTCCTTTGTTTCAAACAATAAATCATGCCCTGGGGCAAGGGCTTTAAAAAGACTTGGGCATGGTATTTGCTTCCCTTCCCTGGCTGGTGAAACTGCCCACCAGTATACAGTTCTGTTCGTTCTGGACACTGGATGCTCTGTTCACGGTGGGTCATATGGGGTTTACAAATGGAATTAACTTCAGTAAGAGACTGCTTGGCAGTAGCTTGCTTCCCATCCACAACTCTGAGGGGGAACTTAAGGAAGCTAAGAAGCTCCCACATCTTCAGTATGTCTTCCCTGAGGGAGGCTGTTGGGCCCCTGATTCCTTAGTCCTGAGTTGTGATATTTACAAAGAAGCCCAATAGTGGTGGTCAATTTCCTTTAGCCTATGTCTATACCGCAGCTTGGAGCACGCCCCCCAGCCCAAGTAGATAGACTCATACTAGCAGTGCTCGAGTGGGCACACTAAAAATATCAGCAGGGGCAGCACTGAGGGAGGCTACTGAGAGCTATAGTCACCCCAAAATTTGCCTTAGCCCCTCCATTACCACCCTGTAGCAGCTGCTGTTCTGCAGCTACCAACTCTAAAGGTAGAGCAGAGAAAGCGGTGGCTGCTGACCGGGTGCCCACCTCCAGCAGCAGCAGTGAAGTATGCCTGGCCAGGAGGCTGGGGTGCGCAAGAGCAGCCCCCAGCCTGTGTCCCCGCCTGCCAGGGTGCATCGCCCAGGGTGGGTGGTGCGTCCCGGACTCCCCACAGTGGCCTGGACTGACCCACTCTGACCCAGGCTACTGGGCCCTCCCCCCATGGTTGCTGCTCCCCGAGGGCTCTGCTGGCCCTAGACCCAGGTCCCCCTACCCAGGCAGGTCTTATCAGCTGTGAGCAGTCAGCGCCCTGTGCTGCCTCACTCCAGCTTCCAGCCTCCAACCTGGACAGGGTGAGGTCTCATGGCGTGGGGAGTGCAGCCCCCCCTGATTTTTCTGTCTGACCCATCTCAGCCCCTGGTGCCACCCCTGAATATCCAAGTGTATGTTGTGTCTCCAGCTGCAGCTTGTTCCCTGTAGGCTTGAGAACCCAAGCCCCAAGGTCTATTTTGAATGGGCTAGCTCAAGCCAAGCCCCACAAGTGCTAGTCAGTCTACGTGGGGGCGGGGGAGAGGCTCACTCTCTGGTGCAGCGTAGACATACTCTGCAGCGATTTAGGCATGCCTGTGACTAACTCAGTTCTTAATAAGACAGGAAGGAAGCAAAATGTGGAGACAGCAGAAGCCATCGGAATTTTTTTCTTCTCACCCACTTTCCTGCTGTGCCAATCAATTAATAAGAGAAATATGTTTAGGGAAATCCTGAGCTTCCTGTCTGCAAGAACCCATGTATTAAAGGAAATGATTCTGGAGCAATGCCAATGGTAAGTGAGTAAGAACCATTCAATGAAATAAAATCCATCCTACAAAAATCTTATTTGTAGAGAGGCTCAACTGCATTCCTCATTGTTCCATTTTCCCAAATATCAAATCTGACATCCATGTCATATGCAACCTATTTATAGATATTTTTATGGTGCTCATCATGGGGAGTGCCTGAATGCTTATCTAAACATATGCCAGAGAACTGAAAATCTGGTTCTGTGGTGACATGCAACACAACATTGCTTGGAAATTAAACAATTCACCATTTTAAAGGGGAAAAACTGATCCTCCAATTATTTCCAAATCTGATATGTATGTCTTTTAAACAACCCATTCTCCTGCCATACGTGGGTCAATATGGATTAAGATTGCTAACGTTTTAAATTATCCTGCTTCACCTCCTTTGTTTCCTATTGATAACACTTCCACTTTTTTGCCTAAGCAGGGAGGGAAGTTAAGCTTCAAGATCAGACTTGAAGATCAGACTTGGTATTACATAACTATATCACTTAATTTGCAATAATAAAGCCTTAACAATTGTATAAAAACATAACACTAATGATTTGCCTAAGTCTTATTATCTATTAATCACACAATATTTGTTGTAGAATAACTAAACAGTATCAAATTCTCTCACTAAGCTATTTTGCTTTTTCAAAACCGCACTGTGAAAGGTCCATTAGGTAATATTTATATTTTGTTCAGAAATTCATAGAGACACAATAATTGTGCTCATGTGGCTTAAGAAAATTTTGGGTATGGCATAAGGAAAAAATGGCTAGGTTTTAGAAGGAATCAACTCAGAGGATACCTGAACACAGGGCTACTTTTCATTAGTTATGCAGAAGGTAAGGGTCACCACCTTTCTAGAACTTTCCTCCTTATTCAATTCCTATTGGTTCCCATTTGTTTGGTATTATGATATCATATATACATTGTTGGTAAAATTCTCGCCCTGAGTGAGCTAACCTCTTAATCATAGAAATTAGAAAGGTCATTTCACCTATCATCCTGTTGCTAATACAGGATTCCACCTGGCAGTATATCCTGTAAAGCTTTGTCTAGTCTAGTTTTAAATATATTTGCACATCTTTACCATACTGGGTTGCACTTTTGCAATGAAGTTTGCATATAAACTTCCCGTACACACCCTGCACATATGAAACACATACCATGCACACCATTGTTTCCTACGCTCAATCCCATAGGCACCTAAGGCTTATGCTCTACTGCAGTCCACAAAACTCCTGGAGAACCTGTAGGCACCTAAACTTACTTGGTGCCTGAGTCTTCAGTCAAGATGTTCCCTCAGTACCTAAGGTTCTACCTGTGCACACGCACTTCTGCCTCCCTCTTGGGAATCAGCTGCCTATCTCCTGCATGGGCCCCAGAGCAATTCACAAACTGGGAGAAGGCAGGTGTTTGGCTGCCTACATCACATGTGGGGCCCTATCCAGTGGGCAAACACAGAGGCTGCCTACCAGATTGGATCCCATTCAAAATCTAACTGGAGGAGGAGATGGTAGTATGTCCACTTTTTAACTTTTAGCCCAGTGGTTAGAGTAGTATTTGCCAAACCATGGGTCCCAACCCACCAGTGAGTCACAAGGAAGTTCTAGATGGGTTGTCAGGCTGGACTGACCCATCACTGGGTCCTGGCCTAGGCAAACATACGTTTGTCTTAGCCTGATGCAAAGTGAAGGCGCCTTGGGATGGGGGACAGGGTGTTGGAGCGTGAGTTAGTTCCAGCACTTACCCCAGGGGAGGGAGCCTGGTTCCCTGCTTTAGGAATTGCAACCTTGTGCAGGTCACAGTGCCACTCAGATTTGGACCAGCCACCCCTCTAACATGAAGGTGCCAGGCCAAACCTGAGTGGTGCTGTGACCCTATGCACTAAGTCACAGCACTACTCACTCAGAGTTGGCCTAGCCACCCCTCTGTTATAGTGGAGGTTGGCTGGCCCAAGCCTGAATGATGCTACAAGGCCATGCACAAGGTTGCAGGCCCCTCTGATCAGCATTTCCCATCGGCTAGATTAGGCAGCTTCCCTCCAAGCATGCTGGCTTTTGTGGATTGTTTTCCTATCTCTCCCCATTCATTGCATAGGGAACCTGAGCACCTAACACAGGTTTTGTGTACTGCAGTGCTTTTGTGACTTTTCTCGGTGCCTAAGAGGTGCTGTGATGTTCAGTGTTGCACTAAGTCCCTTTGTGGCTCAAGGTCATACTGTTTAGACACATGGTGGCACATATGCCATCAAATCTAGTTTATATACTGTATGCAAATTCTAGAAAGACATTGACAGGTATGCTTACACTCATTCCCTACACATACATGCTGGCTCAGAGCCTGATCCCATTGAAAATATTGGTTACATGGCAAATCCCTTAATGACTTCAAAGGGACCTGAATTTGTACTACTGTATACACATACTGTACAGATTTTCACAGTACACACACATCTGCACATCCCGTTAAACATAAAATGATTCAGTGCTGTTCTAGCCATGTCTGCCCCAGCATACTAGAGAGACAAGCTGGGGGCTGTAATATCTTTTACTGGATCAATAACAGAATAACAGAAGTTGGTCCAATAAAAGATATTACCTCCCCCACCTTGTCCGAAACAAAAGTAAACACACATCCCATTGCGCGCACACAGAGACAGTCGCATACATCCAGTTCCCCCCACAGGTAACATGTCCTAATATACACAAGGCCAAATACACACAATTTGTTACACCTGTGTGATTGTATGTGTAGTGGGGTATATACAGTTTTAAACACACACTTATATACACTTGTAAACACACATGCTTCCTGTTACACAATAAATTGAATATATACCCATCTTATCACATAGGTAATTAACACTCCCAAGTCCACACAGACTCACACACTTTCTGTGACCCACAGTTACTTGCACAAGCATGCTTACCCACAGTTGCAGCATGCACAGAGAATGAAACACGCAACTGTCCTGCTTTACACACACACACGGCACACTCTTTGTTGCACGCACACACACGCGTCACAGAGACATCCTGGGAACCACCGGCTGAAACCCTCCACGCCCTGTCACTCTCTCACGTCTCCGGCCCGGCTTTTCCAGCATTGCTCAGCCTGGGCGGGAGAAACAGCCAGCTCAGCCCGACCCGCCTCTCCCCAGACACCGCCGCAGCGCCGTGCAGCGTCCCCCGCGGCGGCGGCGGCAGCCCGGTGACCGTGGGAACAGCAGCAGCAGCAGCCGGAGAAGGCAGCGGCGACGGGGACGCAGGGAGACCGGAGCCCCCAGCCGGTAGCGACCCGAGAGGCACCGCAGCAGCCGCCGCCGCCGCCGGCTCCCTCACCTGCCGCAGGTGAGCGCGGGAAACCCCTTCTCCGCACGGCTCGGGCTGCGAGAGGGGGCCAGGCAAGAGCCGCTGCCGCGGCGCTGGGGCGGGGCTACGTGCCCTTCCCGGGGGCCAGGAGGAGCCCGAGCGGCGGCGGCGGGGCGGGGCGGGGCGGTGCCAGGAAAGGGCACTGAGGGCACAGAGCAAGGTGCTTACTCACGGCACTCGGTTTCCGGAGCCAGGGAGGAGGGAAAAGGAGCCGTGCCGTTGCTAAGGGCATATGCTGCTCGCCCACTTCCTGCCGCTCCCTCGTCCCGGAGCTTGGTCCAGCAGCGGCACCCACCTCTGCCAGAGACCTGACTCCCCTGTTTCCTTCCCAGCTTGGAAACCGGCGCAATAGCTTGTGCCATTCAGATACCGTTGAGAGCCGCTGGAATTGGGCAGCCGCTGGAGTTCAGCTTCTCCTTCCCCGCAAGGTAGGTTACAGCTGGTGCAACGGAAGCCAAGCAATGCCCCCCTTTAACTGTGCGGAGAGATGCCTAGTGTGTCGGTTGCTATTGTGCCCAATATTCATCATTCCTAGTTAAAAATCCGGTACTGGAAGCCCCTTGTGGGAACTGGGATTTCATTTCTTTGTCCCTCCCCTTGCTGATGAGGAGATGAATCTTAAAACCAACAGCACTGTACTGTTCTTTTATGAAATGCCAGAATTTGTGCTGGTACTGGTAGAGAGAGCTTTATGGGGTCAGCTGTTTGGCCGGGGAGGTAGTTTTTCTTTGGAGCAAAGTATACCCGTGTTTCACAATTAGACTAACAGATCAGCTAGGGGTTCCTCATGTGAAGAAACCCATACTGAACTGTCATTATCTGAGTGATACAGAAGTAGGCATACAATATGAACGGAAAGCCTATTGCAGAAGTGCTATATAATGGAAGCAATCACTTAAGGATGAGGAAAAAATATGCTCACACTGAAAATTGAGGGCTTAACCAACTCCTGTTAATGTCAGCAGGAGTCATTCCAATGAGTTTAATAGGAGATAGAGCAGAACCTGAGAGTTAGCTCCTATTTTAAAAAAGTACTGATAAGACATTAATCAAAGAAAGCCACAGTAAAAATTATGGGCTTTGCATAGTTGTAAAATATTAATCATCAAATCTGAACACTGATTAAAATAGGGAATCTACTTCTAGGTTTGAAATTTGCACCTGTTTTGTACTATATACTGTGTACCTTCTTCAGAAAACAATAATTTCTTAACACCTATCTAATGTAAATTGTATCATAGAAAAGGAAGATTGTTAAAATAGTTTCCATGGCTATCATAAATGAAAATTTTTCTTTTAAGTAATATTTTCTATTTTAGTAGCTTGTATTAATCTATGCATCTAGCGATCTATAACACACTAGCGTATTGAAGTGAATATTGATTCCATTAGTAAAGAAGATTAAAGATCCAAAATTAAAAGTCCTGAAAATAATTTAAATTGTTGTAAATTTACTTCAAAAATCATTTATTCATTCATCAGTTTAGTCACTAAACAGAATGTGAAATCCATCTGGGATCAAATGTAGCCTAGATACATAAGTATAATATATTAGTTATACAATTGTTCATTCTTATTATTGGAAATAATATAATTCCAGTTCTCTCACATACTTGGATCAATAATTGCCTAAAAGTGTAGCATGACTTTATGCAAATATTAACCCATTTAACAGTGATATCTTCCTCTGTTAAGCACTTGTAATGATGCCTGACTATAATAACAGAGGCAAGTCCATGGGGTTGGATCAGTGTAACTGGTGATGAAATTTGACCCAGTACTCTTATAGTTTACTGCAATGTCTCTATACATTTTCATATAGTTTCTTTTGATAAAGCTGATTACCCTAAATAAAGGAAAAACCCTTCCTCTAAGCATCAACACATTCCCAATACTCAATAATTTGTTATGAGCGGGGTAAAACTTGTTATAAGTTGAGTTAAAACCCCAGTTAACATAACTGTGAACATAAGCCCCCACCTAAAACAACCTGCCCTGTGTGAACCTGCCCGGGAACTTTTGTCTGAATATTTTTATGGGTAGGTTGTGTGTGTGTGTGTGTGTAGAGAAAGAGATCACAGACAAAGTGAGGACAGATGTGTATGTGTGTGTGTGTGTCTAGAGATCACATACAAACTGAGGACAGACAGAGGGAGAGGCAAGAAAGCCAAGTAGGAGCTCCGAGCCACTAATCACAGTGTGACCCTGGGAAAAAAAGTTAGAGAGAGCACTTTGGGGTCTGGTGTTGGCTCACGTAGCGTGGGGGGTGTAGACTAGGGCTTTGTCTTCACTAGTACTTCTGTTGGCAAAGTTTTTATCCCAACCGACATGTTTCACTGACAAAAGCTGCGTGCTATGTGAGTGGGAGATGCTCTCCCGCCGACAAAGCTACCACTACTTATTGGGGGTGGTTTAATTATTTCAACAGGAGAGCTCTCTCCCGCTGGCATAGAGCAGTTACACAGGAGACCTTACAGTGGCACAGCTGCAGCAGTACATCTGTGTCATTGTAAGGTCCATAGTGTAGACATAGCCTAAGAAATTGCCCCTTTTGTTCTTGGTTCCTTCCATATTCAAAGACATAGGGACTTTGCTCATTCCTTGTAAGTAAACAGGCTGCATCAAGAAAAATACTAGACAATCAATTTCTGCTTCCAACTGGAACATCCCCAGGGCCCCAAACTTTTAACTAGCCACTGGGGTCAAAAAGGGGCAACACACTTCTCTTTTCCCACATGTAAATATTCGGGCTTTTTTCATCAGATCTTCTGTGTTTCTTTCTCGGAAAAAAAAATATTTTGTAATTTTGTTGCAAAATCTGACTCTTGCCTTCTATTGCAGTCATTAGGTTGAGTGTTTCTTTAAGGAAGAGATTTGACTCAATAGTGTTCACCTCCCATTTATTTGTGTACTCATTTGGGCTCAGCAATGATGCAGAACTTCCTTTACGACATTTTATAATTTGTCTTAGTCATAGAGAATGTGTTTTGCATAAGAATGACAAAAAATGTCTTTGTGTAGTTCAAGTTTTGATGCAGAGATATTTAACCCACTGGCATCAGCTGTAAAATTGTCCATTTTAATTTTGGATAAATGCATATTTAAAAAAATCTAATAGTCAGATGTTCACATTGTTGAAATTTCACCATTTTTGAAGGAGCTGTATTATGTGTGGACCTTATTATTAATGTATTTATTTAATGTTTTAGAGTTAAGAGTAATGACTATGTAGACTAGATGCAACATCTGCGTTACAATTAATGAAACTAATTTTAAAATGGGACTAAGCAGTATGTAAAATTAAGCATGCATGTAGATCTTTGCAGGATCAGGGCCTTATTTTGTCACTGAAGTACCATACACTGTTTTCTTCCTTCAGGTCTAACTGTATAGAATGGCACCTGGTATAACAGCTGAGAAGAAGACTGAGGATGAACAGTCATCAAAGTAAGAACCAAAACTAATTTCAGTATCTACTTTGAAGGTATATAAATGTACCACTTTTAACTCCTCTCAAATAGCATGTTTTTCATTTCACAACCTAATGTTTTAAATAGTAAAACTCTACAGCACATATGTGTTGACTGTGGCCAGGTCTAAGCTCAAAACTTTCACTGCTATTGTAATATCAGTTAGGCACGTGATTTCTTTCCAACATTTTTGTCCTGGGAAAAGCCTTAGTGTGGACTCAGTTATACTGGCAAAAAAGCGCGTTGGCAGGTATAGTTTTATTTAGTTCAGACACCAGCACTCTTGAAGTATAAGCTGTGTCTAATTTAGAAGGGTTTGCCAGAATAACTATACCAGTATAAAGACAGGTTTCAGAGTAGCAACCGTGTTAGTCTGTATCCGCAAAAAGAAAAGGAAGACTTGTGGCACCTGAGAGACTAACAAATTTATTTGAGCATAAGCTTTCGTGAGCTACAATGAAGTGAGCTGTAGCTCACAAAAGCTGTTGCTCAAATAAATTTGTTAGTCTCTCAGGTGCCACAAGTCCTCCTTTCTTTATACCAGTATACTTATACTGGAAAATCGAGTGTAGACTGTGCATGAAACCCTGACTCAACTGAAGTCAATGAGAGCTTTACCATTGACTTGAATGGTGCCAGAATTTCATCCCATGTATTTTGGAATTTTGAACAAATATTTCAATCCAATTATCTCATTCTTTCTTTAGATTTGTGTTGGTATAAGAAACTGAGTGTCAAAGATTAATGGTTAGCCCTCAGATATTTTTTATTTACTTAGCTGGCACCTAAAATGTGGGAGGCACTTCACACAGATGCAAGAGGAAAAGTTCTCTGCTCTGAAGAGCTTACCATGTAATGCTTCAGTGCTGCAAAAACTTTACTATCGTAAACTCATGGCACTACTTGTTGAAGTAAAGTTAATCACGTATGTAAGTGTTTGCAAGATTAGAGCCCAAGGCCCTAGGTGTCTGTGGGTGCAGGGGTCCATCTGTATGCATCTGATTAAAGGGTGTGGCCCTATAAGGACAAAATGCAGACAGAAGGAGGGAGGGACACAGTATTAAAGCCAATCATGAAGACAGTGGTGTTGAAACATGCCTTGTGAATTTGACAATATTTGTGGATATATATATATATATATATATATATATTAGGATTGTTGATTAATCACAGTTAACTCATGTGAGTAACTCAAAAAAATTAATCGTGATTAAAAAAATTAATCGCAATTAATCACAGTTTTAATCCCACTGTTAAACAATAGAATACCAATTGAAATTTATTAAATATTTTGGATGGCTTTCTACATTTTCATATATATATTGTATTCTGTGTTGTAATTGAAATCAAAGTGTATATTATTATTACAAATATTTGCACTGTAAAAATGATAAATGAAAGAAATAGTATTTTTCAAAACTATTTAAATAAATGGTATTATATTATTGTTAACAGTGTGATTAATCTCATGGTTAATTTTATTAATCACGATTATTACGGGATTAATTGCACTGTTAAATTATAATAGAATGCCATTTATTTTTGGATATTTTCTACATTATCAGATATCTTGATTTCAATTACAACACATGCCAAAGCATGAAGGGGCATACGAATGTTTAGCACATCTGGCATGTAAATACCTTGCAATGCCGGCTACAAAAGTGCCATATAAATGCCTGTTGTCACTTTCTGGTGACAGTCTAAATAAGAAGAGGGCAACATTATTGCCTGTAAATGTAAACAAACTTGTTTGTCTTAGCGATTGGCTGAACAAGAAGTAGGACTGAGTGGACTTGTAGGCTCTGAAGTTTTACATTGTTTTGTTTTTAAGTGCAGTTATGTAACAAAACAAAAATCTACATTTGTAAATTGCACTTTCATGACACAGGTTGTACTACAGTACTTGTATGAGGTGAATTGAAAAATACTATTTCTTTTGTTTATCATTTTTACAGTGCAAATATTTATAATAAAAAATAATACACACATTTTGATTTCAATTACAACACAAAATAGAATATATATGAAAATTTAGAAAAACATCCAAAATATTTAATAAATTTCAATTGGTATTCTATTAACACTGCGATTAAAACTGCAATTAATTGTGATTATTTTTTTAATCGTGATTAATATTTTGAGTTAATCGCGTGAGTTAACTGCGATTAATCGAAAGCCCTAACATATATCTAGAGAGAGAGAGAGAGAGAGATTAGTGTATTACAGTTTACTTCATTGTGTCTTGGGTTGCGCTTTTATCACAAAGGGGCTGGTGTCCAAATAAAAAGAAAGTGTTTTCTGCATGTGCAAAAACAAACTGTTGAATGATTCTAAAACACATCCTGTTTGAATCTTGTAGTGACTCCAGCAAATATCACCATAGTCAAGTAATTGCTCTGTATTATTGGTACAAAGAGGTTAAGTCCCATGTAATCTGGCAGAAATACTTCTGAGTGATACTGTGGAGTATTGGTCTGGGGACACTGATTGTCCAAAACCACAATCTGCAGGGCCAGCTGGGCCTTTCTGATGATGTCATAGCTGATCATCAGCACTCTCTGGGGCATGGCTGCAACCTCATCATCCCTACACCAAGTGTGTTAAATAGGAGGAGGGATAATAGGAGAACAAAGGTAACCCAAGTACTTTCTGAGGACAGTTAGAACCAGTAAGATGTGGGGAGAGCGCATGGCTAAACTGTCCAAAATGCCAATCTGCTTTTTCAGCCATTGTCTCTTGTTAAAGCCAAATGAAAAACTGTTGCTTAATGAACATTTAGTTTTTCTAAGACAGTGAATTGATTTTGAAAGGGTGATTTGTTACATTGTGTGGGATGGGTCAGTTTAAAACAGTGGTGTAGGAGTAAAAAAAGAAGTAGGTAAACTAACCTAAACTAAACTCCATATTCCCCAAATGAGAAGTGGGCAACTCCGTTTACCCTTGACTACACTACTGGTTAAAACCTCCTTCAGCTTCCTTCTACAACCTCACAGATCTGACTCTCTGCAGAGAGGATGGGAGGGGGAGAAGGGGACTACATAGCCCAAGGAATCTTAGAGAGAAATTGTTAGGAAAAAATTAAACTATTCATATATTCAAATTGTTAGGGGAAAAATGTTTATAACATTTCCCTATTTTCTCCAATTCTTTCACTGGGAACTAATTTCCCTACTGGAAGGATATGTTACATAAACCTCCATAAAATTGACTTGTTGTTTTTTTTAAAGATTAAACCTAAATTTACTAAGCCATATTCCCAACAGAAATGAGCCACTCCAGGGTATGCATTACTGAGGATATGTGTGCGCTGCAGAGACTGTCAGCATACCCCTGTAGAGTAGACTCAGCCTACGCTGACAGAAGGGTTTTTTTTCTGTCATTGTAGGAACACCAGCTCCCTGAACAATGATAGCTACCTCAACAGAAGCATTCTTCTGTCCACATAGCTGCGTCTACACTCGATGCTATGTCGGCATAGCTACATTGGTCAGAGCTGTGGTTTTTTCATACCCGACTGACGTAACTATGTAGATATAACTTTCAAGTGTAGACAAAGCCTAAGCTATTAGTTCATGATTCTGGGTGCAGAAGGCACTGGGCCTTTGGCCTCATGTATCATAAATAGGATTGCCAACCCTCCAGGATTGGTCTGGAGTCTCCAAGAATGAAAGATTAATCTTTAATAAAAGATTATGTCATGTGATGATATCTCCAGGAATTCATCCAACCAAAATTGGATCCGTAATCACAAAGTACTTTGAGGGGTACACCAAGAGTCTACACCAGTTTCTGGCTAATATTTAGAGTTTCCAACCTGCTATGGCTTCACTTTGTAAGCTGACTTTTGCAAAGTTTCCATGGCCTAATACAGAATTTGCATATATAATTTTCCTCTATCTGGTCTGCATTCAACTTAATGTGAGGGTATCAAAGTGTCAAGGATTTGATATTTTCCCATTGCTCTTGGCATATTCTAGTTCCTCAGTCAGGTTTTTCTGGATGCACCACCTCTTTTCACTAACTAGTCAGAGGAGCTGTTTCTAGACAAATGGTTTATCAGTCTTTATTTAAAAAAACAACAACAAGGAGTCCTTGTGGCACCTTAGAGGCTAGGTGTCACAAGGACTCCTTGTTGTTTTTGCTGATACAGACGAACACAGCTACCACTCTGAAACCAGTCTTTATTTATGTCTTTTCTTCCCTTTCTGTTCTTTTTTACACTCTATTCTCTGTTTTCTCTTACTCTTCAGTATTTTTCTCCCTACTATGTTGTCTCTGATTTCCACTTCTTCCACATTGTCTCTCTTATCTCCTCTTTCAGATCCCCATTTGTGTTGTCACCAATCTCGCCAGCCCCTACTCAAATTCTGTCATTGCTTTCCTCCCACTATGGTCTGGGTGCATGGCTCCAATGGATCCACTCTGCCTGGGATTCCCACAGGGACTGCCCCTCAAATCCTCAAGAAGGGGGGAGGGCTGGTTGAAATATAATACAGCCTCAAGCCATATGAACTTTGCTGCAGTTTCTTCATGTGGCAGGAGGGTGTGATGCACATTGTACCTGCCTACCACACCCCCATCTTCACCTCCTCCCTAGCCTTGCAGGCTCCACAACCAGTTTCACTGCTTATTATGAAATTATTTTAGGCAGGGCTGGTAGCACTCCCTATTACATGTATGTCTACACTACGAAATTAGGTCGAATTTATTGAAGTGGATTTTTTAGAAAGTGATTTTATACAGTCAATTGCGTGTGTCCCCACTAAGTGCATTAAGTTGGCGGAGTGCGTCCACAGTACCGTGGCTAGCGTCGACTTTCGGAGCATTGCACTGTGGGTAGCTATCCCACAGTTCCCGCAGTCTCCACCGCCCCTTGGAATTCTAGATTGAGCTCCCAATGCCTGATAGGGCAAAAACATTGTCGCAGGTGGTTTTGGGTACGTCGTCAGTTGCCCCTCCCTCCGTGAAAGCAAT